TTTCCTGTTTGTTAATCTGTTTTTGATTTACGTGTATTATTGTGAATTCTTAGAGTTTTAAATTTCATTATCAGGCTTTTCATGAGGAACCTTACCTAAAGCTTTTGGCGAGTCTAATTATATCACCTTTGGTGCTTTAGTTGTATCTATTATGCTTGCTGTTAATTTGGGGAATTCTAGCAAGCTAGTTAAACAATATGTGCCTTTTCTAAATCACTATTGATCCTTTCTTAAAATAATTGTAATTGTTTTGTACATATTCTTTTAGTTTAATTCTAGGTTTTCTAAAACGTTTAAGTCTAACAGACATAAGGCCAATTGGTCGATAGTTTTATGGTTATGTCCTGTCTCAGGTATTTTATATTTGCACTCTGTGAGTATTGCTTTCAATCAAAGTAAGAAAAGAAAAACTCTAGTGAAGTCTGTAAATAATATGCCCCTTTTCAGGGTTCTCTCCTCCTTGAAAACTAGGGTTTATTAGGAATGTCAGCCGAAAATGTGTCATGTATTAAATTTATTGTATGGTTTCTGTTTGATGGCATGGTATGGGTATATATCTAACAAGAAGAAGCTATTAAAAAAACAAGTATTTGACAGTCATATTATTTATTTATCCCCCCAAAAAATCTGTAGAATAAGGCATTAATTGTGGAGAAGGTCAACAAAGGACAATTTAACAATAGGTACAAATATTTCTAATGGTACTTGCCCTTTTTAGTCCTGAATAATCCGGCAGAATCTTTGAAATAAACATAAAAATGCCTCTTTGGAATTGTCACTCCTACCTCAATGTTCAACGGTAGACATTTGGTGAAACAAAATATTAGTGATGAAATGTGAAAAGTTCCCTACATCTGTCATGTTGATAAAAAAGGTACTGCAGAGGAGCAGAAATATCTCTCACAAACGTGCTAATGTTACCATTGCTAATAATATTGCACCTTCTACTAACAAGCCCATTTCACTTATGTATTTCCACAGTGTGGTTTTTCAGAATGTTATTATACAATGATCAATGGGGCTGCAGTACAGCACTGTTGTTCCAGGTTCTGATCCATCCGGGGGATCTGTCTGTGTGGAGTTTGAGTGATTCAGTGGGTTCTCCAGTTTCCTTATACAATCAAATGATATGCTCTCCGGGTTAATTGGAGTCTTTATATTGTACCCCTTGTGTATGTGTGAGTGAATGTACTATATGTGTCTGCCCTGTCTCTAGTGTACAGTATCTTGCTTTGCGCCCATGGTCTGACAGCTCGGGCACCAGGTCCCGTATTGGACTAAGTGGCTATTGAACATGGCTGGATGGATGTTTCGTGACATTTGTTGATTTCATTAGCAAAGTATTGATTCATTTCAATCTCATTTCTGTCAGTTAGATTTCATAATTAACTGTGGGTATGGGTATGGGTAAGATCATTTAAAAAACATTATGCTTGATGTTTTTCTGCTTTCAACTCATCTTTCTCTAAATGCTATCATATTTTATCATTCAGTTTTAACTGTTTAGATTCTTCGTTGCTCTGTTGAACAAAAAATAATATGGCTAATTTCAATAACGTTCTCACATCGTATTTGGGAGCAGTAGTCAATATTAATGTGCTTGTCATCCAATTAAATACAGTTCTGCATTTTAGATAGTAGATGAATAATCTGCACATTCTGAAGGGACTTGAATGACTAGTATAATACCTGCAACCTTTTACAAAGAATGTATTTCCAGCAAAGAAAATAAGTGTTTTATTTTAACATTTAGATCTTTTCTATTTGGCTCAACCACAGTGTAGTCATGGGTTTTAACAGAAGCAAATTATCTTAATTTGCTCCTTTGTTTTTTGCACTCTCAAATTAGATAGTCAGCTTGCAAATGTAAATTATTTATCAGTAGTCCTTTTTCAAAAGGTTTTGGGAATAGTTTATTTTAAATACTTTAATGAGGGAAAAAAAACTACTTACTGTATGATGCCCTTCAAAGTTAAAAACTTCACATCCAACCAGAAATAATGTAGAACACACTTATACTCACAAGAGAGACAGAAACCTGAACGTAACTTGCAGCTCAAAAGAGAAAAGCAGAAAGTCTACATGACAAGTATGTAACTTGTGTATTGTTGAGCTATGGATTGTATTTAACTAATGCCTGGCACTATGGTAGGCTTTGCAGTATATTGCCACAAGGTCCTGCATTTCCTTCTGGGCTTAGAAGCCTATATGTATAGATTTTATATATTCTCCTTCATATTAATACTACATTAATATGGATTTTGCCTAGATCTTCCAGATTGTTCCCACCTCTAACAAGTATGCAGAATAGGTTAGATTGGCAGTCTAATGAAAGTATTAAACAAGTAGTAATTATAGAAAGGATAACAGTAACCCTTACATTTACAGTGCCTTGCAAAAGTATTCAGACCCTTGACCAATTCTCTCATTTTACTGAATTACAAATCCTACATTGAAATGTTGTCCTCTGTGATATTTTTATTTGAAAGCACTGAAACTCAAACTTAATTGGTTTGGGAACCTTGGTTTTACATCTCATTCAAGGAACAGAACATTTTTTTACAGTATAGTGTCCCCATCACTATACTGGGGTATTAGGACAAACTGAAGGGTGAGTGCTTCCTACTGGTCCTACTAACACCTCAGTTTTTCCAGGTTGTCTCCTATCCAGGCACTGGCCAGGCTCACACCTGCTTAGCTACAGTGGATTGTCAGTTGTGAGTTTAGGGTGATATACCGTAGCTACTGACAATAGTGTGATCAGTGGTGGGAAGACCTACTGCTGGTTAAAGACAGCACTATTTCAATTGCTGTGTATTACAAGTTATTTAGGGGTGTACATTTATGCTTTAAATTTAACTTTTTCCAACTACACTTTAATGGTTGTGTAACATAACCCTATATCTATCCTTAAACCCAACCTCAAGATTAACCATAGTTTTACCAATTTAGCTCTAAACATAAACCTTAAACCTAGCCTGCCACTATACTACTCTGAAGTCCAAGTTTCAACTTTCAAGTTCAAGTGTAATTTCTAAAAATAAGTAAAGAAGCAGCTGGTAGGTTTCCATATACTGTAAATGCCAAACAATTATCCACATACTGTAGAAAATATAATTATACATAAATATGATGACCTGTAATAAAACGAACGGCTGTTATTGACTATGCAAAAGGGCAGAATAGTAGACATAATGGATGAATAACATCAAACAGTAATTGTACAACAGGGAAAATGAGAATAATTACTGTATCCTAAGGCATTTTACTCTGGCAAAGAGGAGTCTTCCTAACAAGCATCTTTTATACACGATGAATCTGTTTACAGTTTTATCTCCAGTTCACAGAACTGGATATTTGTAATTATGCTTTTCCTATTGTCATTTTTATTACATTTCTACACCATAATCTATGTTAACGCCTTGTAATTTGCCTTTTCATTGATTTTCTCATGTGGTAAGTGGTTAAAGTTTATCTCACCTTTTTATGAGATACAGTATTGTCTGCCATGCACAGTATGTTTTAGTAAAACTTAAAAGTAAATGGGCACCAAAGGTTTTGGTTGTACATATATCTGTGCTGTTAACAAGTCTTCGATGACCCATGAAGTCATAGGGAATAGAGAAACACAACATTTTTTAATTAAAATGAACAGCTACCTTTCCTCTCAAGACCAGCCAATATCAGGCAGTTCTTGTCTAGTTAGATTTCACAGGTGAAATCCAGTCTAGGACAGCACTTTGACTGGTTGAGCTACACCGCACTGGCTGATAAATATACTGACATCATGTCTGCATCTTGCTCAGACATTTTAAACAATCATTTACTATAAATTGCTTTCTAACTGGGTGAAGGACTTTCATCCAAAACATTCAGAACCAAATGACTTTTTAAATCATTTACTTGTTGAGTGCAACATAAAAACATCTTTTTCAGTCATATATTAATGCAATGTAGTTCAGCCTCCTCCAAAAACCTAATTGTATATGTTTATGTAAATGCACATAAAAACAAAAGATATGACCATGTAAAATTTATGCATGCATGTTTTTATTTGTAGATGTACTGTACATGCATTGACATGTACTGTAGATAAATATGTGAACATTACTTTTTCCTTGTTTCTAATCAATGTCAATATATATGGTTCTCTGCATTTCTGTGGTAAGTTGGTGCTTCTGATTTTTGATCACTAAAACTGGAGATATACAGTCATTTATTTCTGAGATTCAACATCTTTGGTTAACTTGATGCAGGTGCATGTCTCTAAAACATTTCTAACCCTTCATTCAAGTAAATCTTTAAACAGTGCTTACTGACTGCAGTAGGCAAGAGGAGACATTGCCACATTCCATGAAGGCGATAAGTAAATTCCAGACTGAAAAGGCTGTGGTCAAAACAACGCCAATTACGATGGAATAGCAGAAGTGAGGAGTTCGGCGGAGGAAGTGGGAGCCTGGCCAATCGGAATCCCCCAGGAAGAGCCATAGGAGCGCTATAGGGGGGAGGTGATGGGATATGGCAAGGGACGCAAAGCAGTGCCTGCTGGGAAGGGCTGTTACAAAAAAGTATTTGGATTACGTAAAAGATGTTTATTTTTTAAAGAAGAGGGCCATGCTGGAGGCCCTGTTCTTTTGTTCATGACTCCAACTTAGGAAAGGTCATAAAATGTTATACAATAGAGGAAAATAAATGTAACACCTAATCAAATTATCAGCTAAATAGGACCGACAAAAAAAATGAAACCATCAAAAAGCACACGGTTGGACGTAACGACAGAGAATATATAAACTTTAAAGATGGCAGCTCTTTTGTTCCTGAACATTGTTGAATATTTGACATGATCACAGTAGTAGGACTAACCAAATCCGGGTAACTGTTCATAACCCTAATGTCAGGACCTGGCTCCTTCCTAAAACTCCTTCAGTACCTCACAGTCACGCCATGAGGCCCTTCTGTCAAGATCAAAAGCTTCCTTTTATGACTTGAACGGTACTTGTTAAACTCAAAATATGTATGTCTTGTTTTCATACTGTATACTGTAGATCTTTTAAAAAATACTAAACGTAGAGTATTTTAGATTTGTTTTAAATATACAGTACGTTCAATTTTTCATTCACTTGGGCCGTGAAGTCCTGCCTCAGGCCCCATTCCAATTTGTTGAAGTCTTTGTCCTCAGCAGTGGATGGAGCTGCCAGTTCAAATGAAGGACTACAGAGCAACAAGAGAGCAGCCAGGACAAGGCTACAGCACACTGAGGAGACCTCGCCAGGGAGAAACCTGTTTGTGGATCATCAATATTTAACAGCCTGTTTATTTATGTATGAGGCTATCGCAAACAAAAAAGATGTGAGGAGCACCATATTTGATTTCAAAATTAAAATCCTGATCTTCTCACTCTGTTTGTGTAGCAGTGTTGGGTTCTTAAGTATGTCGTTCGGAAAATCAATGTACATATAACCAATGCTTTTTTTCCCGAGGCATTGGAACAAAGCTAATGTAGTCTATATGCAGTTTATAGGTACATTAATGTAAGTTGCATAGTTTGTAAGGGCTGTTGGGATCTGGGCTGTTTTAATATAGGGGTATTATCCGTAACGCATCTCATGTCTGCATGCTTATCCTCCAGAGAGGATTAGGCATGAAATGTCATTGGATATGGCACGCATTGCAATTTATAGGAATCCACTGTAGATGAGAAAAAAATGTTATTTTTCATTTTTCTAAGAAAGAAAAACCCAAACGAATCGTGTGACAGAGCCCCACATCAGGCAGCATTGCCTAGTGGACTCCTGCATATGAGCCACTCCACACCCTGACACAACACAAAGCCACAGTACTCCTGGTGCTTTTCTAGGGCCAACTAACGCCTCTTCACTCAGTGCACTGCCTGCAATGGTCTACCAACAAACCAAACGATGGTCCCTATCAGCACAACTGTGCTGTGTCCTGTGTGCACATTCACGCTCCAGACGTTCAATTAGACTAATTAGACTTGACGAGCAATTACACACAGAGGTCGACTATTTTGAACTGATTTGGCGGCCCCTGGTGGCTGGTCCATGATCACTGGACCCTGAAATGTAAGGGCCCAAGTGCAACAAGGCGCAAATCAGTTACTATCGTGTTTTCGAATATGGTTTAAGTTCGCTTTACTTTAATACGTTGGGACTGGAATACTAGTCTTATCTACACTTATGGAAAACGTGAACTACGCTTTGATTTCAGTTTTTAAACTGGTCTATCGTCTTTATGCAGAATTTTTAATTATAGCTTCATATGGTAATACAAGCGCTTTTACTACAGCTGAAATGTGAAAGCAAAAGCATGGGGAACTCGTGTGTTTCTCCCATCTTCGCATCGATCTCTATGCTCCTGGACATCGATTGCGATCTCTCTTTCCCTGCGGCAGCTCGCGATTGAACAGCCCGCCTTCTCCTGCCCGCTTCCCATTGGCTGGCCGGTCGGAGTTACCATGGCGACAGGGTGGCAACCAACCTGTGTCTCCGCCCTCTGGGCCTATGTGGTGTCGGGCCGCTCGGCGGTCCGCGCTGATTGGTGGAGATGCCCCCTCCCCCGACAGCGGGCGCTGAGCGCAAAACACAGAAAGGTGAGCGGACCTCTGCCAAAGGTACCTTTTTATATCATGTTTTTTTCCGAAATCGTTTATTCTTAAAAAATACGAGTATTTCAGATGTTAGCCAGGGGTATAGATATACACGTATGATGTACATATGTAGAATAGGTGAGTGTGTTTTCTATAAAATCTCATAAAACGTCACATTTTTCTTGGGAAAACTCGAAAGGCAATACATGACGCATGACAGTTTAATTTTTTTTCTCTGAATGCTGTTAACTAAAGCGGTTTGACAGGATGTCAGTCCTTTCTCCATACTGTGCATATAAATCAGTATTGATGCTGTTGCTGCCCAGAACACAGGTGACAGCTCTCACTCGACAGTGGCGGACGTACAGTACATCAACGTGCAGGAGACACTGATCGATTATACTCCCAGACTTCTTCTTACTGTTGCTTTACAACAGCTGATCCCTCCCTGCAGGCTGCTGCAATGGTGCTGGAAGAGACAGACGCCGGGAAGCGGCTGACCTCCGCGGCTGCCGGGGGGAGGCTCGCCGAGGTGCGCCGGCTGCTGCAGGATCAGCGCCTGCCCCCCGACACGGTCAACGAGTTCGGGAAAACGGCGCTGCAGGTAATTCACGTGGGGAGGGGGGTTGATCCTCAGGAAGGTCTCATCTCAACTCGGGCGAAACGTGTCCCCCTCGACCCCCGCCACTCTTTGCGTAAAGAGGTGCCCGCTGCTCTCGCTTATCAACGCGCCTTTACAGCTCCCGCCCGGGTTGAACCTGGAGTCGCCCGCCGCCTGGAGTTCGCCAGTGCCTTGGGATTTGATTTGCAACCCCCGACTCTAGGGAGGTCCGCGAATGCAACTTTTAGACTGTGAGGTACAAGCCAAGTACAGTGTTTGAAGTGTTCAGGGCGACACACCTGTCTGTTGGGATATAATGTGTGTCCCAGCGATGGTTTTATTGAGTGTAGTCCCGGAGCGCTCTTGCGATCCTTCGTGTTTAAATCGCCTTGTGAACAAGTGCGACAAAACAGAAAGTCGTTTGGTTTCGACCTCGACAAGAAAGACCGGAGGGTCTCTGGTTTATTTTTATTTTTTTTTTCTCCGAGACAAAATTGCGCGGAACGTGTCCCGTCCAAGACGCGCCTTGTACTCAGGAGCCAAGCCTAGTGTACGCAAGGAAAGAAACTCCCGCATAAGCTTCTGAAAAGCACTGCTTTGTATATTAACACTCATCTTTTCGTTCAAAAGACATTTATTTGGCTTTGAAAACGCAGGCGCGTCGTTGTTCCGCTATCCCGGGTCACCGAAGGTCACCAACATCCCTGCAACATCCTGACAACTTGACATGTTTTCCCACTCGCCTGTTGTCAACTAGTGTCTTCTCAGCGCGCAGATGCTACAGTACAGTACGTTGTAAGCCGATACATGTACATTTGTCTACACGTCTCTGAAATACAAAACAACGTTTTTAAATAAATAGGTGATGTGATGTCATACTATGGGAGAGTATAAAGGAGGAGTTATAATAAACCAATACTCTCCGGTGAGGAGGTTTTTTTTTTTTTATTTCTTCCGCGACATCGTTTTGCTATCTTTCAGATGAACGATTTTTGTTTCTGGTGCAGAAAGTCAGCTGAAGAAACCCGTTTATATAAATAAACCACTTTTTTTGTTCACCTGATGACAATTCATGTCCCATAAAAATCATTTAAAACCCCCAATACATCGATAGTTACATTTGAGTTAAGGTTGAAATAAACCCTTCTTACATTTCAATAAAGTCTTTTTCTACTGTCCATGGCCGACAAGACTATTTTTTTTTTACCCGGCATGAAACTTAAATACTGTATTCCCCAACTCTACCTTTTCAAAGATTGAAAAGGTGGATCAGTTAATGATAATGTTTCTTTATTAGCCCTATACAATATCTTGCATTAGGAATTCATCTTTTCACATACCCCAGCTTTTCTCCATGGAGACACAGACAGGGAGAGAAGTGCAGGGTCTGCCATTGTACAGCACCCCTGGAGCAGTTGGGGTTAAGGGCCTTGCTCAGGGGCCCAACAGAGTAGGATTCCTCTGCCAGCTGCAGGATTTGAACCAGCAACCTTCCAGCCACAGGCACAGCTCCTTAGCAACAGAGCCACTGCTCCGCCCAGTTGTGTAGCACAGCAAATATGACCACAGTGCGGTTTCCTAGGAACACAGATCCCACAGCTAGAATTAGTGTATAAACAACTGCGATAAAGTTCTGCTCTTCTGCTTTTAATTCGGTGTAGGTGTTTTGCAGGGCAGGGGTGCTGGCAGTTTTATTCACATTGGTGCTGTTGATGCAGCATGGAGGCACAGTTGTTTAGCATTGCTGCCTGAAAGCGCTAGGGCCCTGGGCGACTACCTGCGTGAAGTTTGTGTGTTCTCCCTGTGCGTGCGCTCACACGGGTTTCTTCCCGGTGCTCGGGTTTCCTCCAGCAGTCCAACGACATACTGGTAGGGTAACCGGGTTCTGGGCAAACTGGCCCTGGTGGGAGCGCGAGCACGTCTGTGTCTCTATGTGCCCTGCGGTGGACCGGATTCCCGTCCAGGGTGTATCCCGCCTGGGGCCTGCTGCCCGCCAGGATCGGCTCCGCGACCCTGAACTGGAAGAAGCAGTGAACAGCGGATGGGTGACGCTGTCGATCTGGGGAGCACGCGTTACCGCGGTGCCAGTCACGCTCGTTTGTCTCCCGATCGCCCTGCTGCCCAGGTGATGATGATGGGCTGCTGCTCCCTGGCCCGGGCCCTCCTGGAGCGCGGCGCCGACCCCAACGTCCAGGACCACTCCGGCGTCACCCCCGCGCACGACGCGGCCCGGACCGGCTTCCTGGAGACGCTGCGCATCCTGGTGGAGTTTGGCGCCGGGGTCAACGTGGCGGACAGCGCGGGGGCGCTGCCCATCCACGTCGCCATCGCCGAGGGGCACGCCGACGTGGTGGAGTTCCTGGCGCCCTGGTCCGACCTCGGCCACCGGGACGCCGGCGGTCGCACCGCTCTGGACTTGGCCCGGGCCTCCTCCTGCCCAGACATCGTGCAGCTGCTGGAGAAACAGCTGGAGTCGAGCCTGTAGGTCCAGTCACAGGCAGGGCGGCGCTATCGCCCCTGGTGCAGCTGAAGACTGTTCCTCGGAATTGTTACACTGTTGCTTTTGCGAACAGGCCTGTGTAAAAAAACCGTGTGCAGGATGTTATGCGATTCATGTAGATGTTATTTGAAAAGCACTTTTTTTTTTCTTCCCTGCAGATTATAATAGGTTTCAATCTCTTCTGGTTAGTACTAGAAAATGTGCGCGCTCCAAAGACTTATCCTCTGGGTCCCGATTCAGTTTCAGACAAACTTTCCAAGCCTTTGGAGAGTTGTATAAAATAGGATTACAGTGTGCTACAGTGTTTTTTTCTCTAGTTAGCTAGGAGAAGGTCATCTTTCTTATCTTTACACCAGCTACAGCTGTACAGCTCCAGTTCTGGAGGTTTTCATTCTTCCTGAGCTCTTAATTACTTCATAGATCTAGTCGTTGGCTTAACTAAACCTTCTAGGTCTGAATGTGAACACCCTGGTTTACAGTAACAGCCGTCTGGGAATCACCAGTGTCTGCTTCTCAGGTTTGTCAAGTCGTTTAAGTAAAGCGTTCTGATATTACATATCTATATAAATACTTTAATGTAGCTGGAATGTTAAGAAATGTCTCCGATGGAATTATAAATATGTATTATAATATTAAACAGAAAACAGAGTGGAGCTATATTTTTACATTTTTAAAATCTCTTCTATTTAAATCCTAGAAAGAAAATCTAAATTATTTTTTATTTATTCTTCGGGTAAATGCTGTGATGGATTCAGATGATTTTTTCATCACATCAGCCTCTTCTTGCAGATGTACAGAGGATCGTTCTTATGATTGATGTGTCCACTGTTTATACATTGTACAGAACGTTTTATTTGGATTATATACAGTATATATATATTTGAATTGCTGCACAAACGTTTATCCGTAGACCTATGTGCCATTGCAGAAAGATACAGATGTTTATATTTGAACTGGAAAAGAACTAAGTTTTTGCAATAACTGATTTAGTTGCACTGACATGAAAGCAGTTGTCCTTGTCTTGTATGTTTGTGTTTTGGCGCACAAATAAATCTCTTATCCATCAGTCTGTCTTTGTTGTTGTAGTGCTTGTGAAATCATAGCAGATTACTGTGTCCACAGAGCAGATGAAGAACAGCAAACCTGCCTGAGTACGAGTACGAGTACGTACTGTAGTTTGGCCACCCTGTCCTGAAGGGCGACCCATCTGGTGGATATAAGAGTAACTCAAACCTCTTTCCTCCACCTAAACATTTAATTCCTGCCTGAGGATGTCCTTTCGTTTATGACTATTTAATTATTTGTGCCTTTTGTCAATAACACTACACCTACAGTATAACAATTATTAACTTATTTAACAATATGCTTCAAGAGTATTGTTAGAAAGTATAATGCAGTCATACGTTCTTGCATTTATATAGTACCTTTGATTCCAAAGGCTCCTGGAGCACTTTTCCATATAGAGGGGGAACCCTCTTCAATCACTCCCTGAAATGCAGCAGCTACGCTTCATACAGTATGTGCCAACAGCTACACTTCACAGCAGATTAGGTGGAGAAATTGAGAATGTGTTCTAGAATCCAATTAAGAAGGACCTTTAGGTAGACCAGATTGAACAAAAGAGAGTGCAATTAAATAGGACACTGGGCTAACACCCCAACTATTCTTTAGAGCAGTATAACCATGTAGTCAGGGCTTCTCACTTAGGGGACGGCACCTCCTAGAGTACAGTTTCCCCTGGTCTCTGTACTGAGGCATTGGTCAGGAAATTCTACTCCATAGCGAAGAGCTCTAACTACAGGTCTATCACAACCTTGATTTTTCCCGGAAATCTAACTCTAACTCTTGACAGGACCCAGCCTTGCTTAGCAGCTTAGACCTGGTGACTCTGGGCTACAAGATTGTAAAGCCTGCCCAACAATTAATTAGAAATAGATATGTTTTTTGCTAACCGGACCCACAAAATACATGCGGACAAGCATTGCAATTTGTCTGCATTCATGCAAATGTGCTGTTTACAAGAAGAAAATAGGAATTGCAATAGAATTTCCAGCGTGATTGCATCGGACCTCTGTTTGTGTCACGGATTAAGAAGCAATCTGGAGGTTTCAGGAGTTAAAAATGACATAGTGAAAGACAACAGTACGTCAAAGACCATGTGCCAATGTTCCAATAGTAAAAAAAATCCCAGGAGCTCAAGGAGTACAAAAAAAGCTCTTACTGATTAAATTTAATTAAAACCATGTATTATTTTCCACATTGAGCATTTTGTACAGATCCTCTGTTTCAGAGGGGCAGAGGCCTGTAATATGTGTCATAGAAACTTCCCTTTTAATTAGGAATGCAAGATAACAATAGCAATGTTGTAGTTCATGAAACTTGAATTAATTAATGTTATATTATCTTCCAATTACTCATTAATCTGAATTCAGTGATGCCTAAAATCCTTTGACTTCTGTCATTCACATTATGCGTTCATTAACTATTTGAAGTGAGAATTAAAAAAACAAGCATCCTATATTGATAACCTTTATTTTATGAAGCATCTTTACTTAACAAAAGGCATTGCAACAGATTTATCATGTGTTTTATATATACAGTATTTCTGTTTGTTGTATCTGATTATTTTTTGCAGTTCATTTGCTTCCATTGTAATATTTTTCTAAGTTTTATCTTCTGAGCATTTTGAAATATTTATGTTTTTATTTAGTCTTCTTCACTCCTGCACTCCTAGGCTGTGGAACACACTTCTCTATGAAATCAGAAAGTCTGTATCTTGATTTTCCACCTCAAAGTTCCAACTTAAAATGTACTGTTTTAAGTTTGATTTCTTATAGTTTTATTATGTATAATGCTTATTGTGTTTATTGCGTAATGCTCTACTGTATATTGATGCATTGATTGTATTTTTCAGCTTTTGTTATTCAGTGCTTTGGAATACGTTTTATGAAGTACAGTATGTTTTATGGTGAAATCTGAAAGCTCTCACAATAAAACATACTTAAAAAAACATATTTGTTAAAGGAGACTGATTCCTTTCATACCTTCAAAGCCAATATAATTATCTTAAATTCTATGCAAAATTCAATAAGAAGCCACTGCATGGAAAATGAAGACTATGCTTTAAAAATGCACTGTGACAAGTACTGTATGTATTTAAAAGTTTCCCCCCTACTTCTAAAATCTACATCTCTAAAATCAACTAAGAAGACGTTTAAAAAAAAGATGCATTTTTTTCAGCACAGTTCATTAAACTGACATATTTTTTTATTTTTCATCACATTGCAGGAGAGTTGCTCACTAATTAATTAAATTCTTCTATTTATCCATCCATTTCCTAGCCATTTTATCCACAGCAGGGACATCCAGTAGGGGTGGTGGAGCCTATCCCAGCAGGCAAGGACCTGGAGGCAGGGTGCACCCTGGACACGACACCAGTCTTTCACAGGGCACACACAGACACAAACACACACACGCACACTAGGGCTAATTTTCCCACAAGCCAATTCACCTGCCAGTGTGACTTTAGTCTGCAGGAGGAAACCGGAGTACCTGAAGGAAACCCATGTGAACTCAGGGAGAACATACAAACTCTTCACAGATACGCAGATGGCACCCAAGGTCCAGAATTGAACCCAGGGCCCTAGTATTGCCAAGAAGCAATGCTAAACTCCACACCAGCGTGCTGCTCTTACTGTATTTATTTCAATGGAAAACATGAAAAGATCTACTTTGCACTCAGAGTGAGTCCTATGGTAAAATAAAACCAATGTATTTGTTTTTTAACTACATTCTTGTTTTCAGCTTGTTAAATTTTGCCTTTAAACACATCAGTTCCAGATTGGCCATAAATGCCCTTCATTCTACATGAATATTCTATAATTAGCAATTACTTAACATGCTGAATGCTTCGTCTTGTGGATAAATTCCACTGGGAAGGCTTGATTGACAAATGGAGGATCTGCACTGAAAACTAGGTTAGGGACCTGTTTGGATTCAACCATGAATTTCCCGGAACCTTAGTTATATTCTCAATGATCTGTCAGGCTTACCTTACTTCACTGAAACCTTGCTCAATCAATTGCACACTTTTAAGAGAAAGCTAACACACAGCCTTCAAATCAGCAGTTAAAAATGCCTTCAGCAGCCTGTAAGTAGTGGTGATAGATGTCCAATCTTATTCATTGTTTTTCTTAATTTCTTAACAATTATCTTTCTGTCCACTTGACTTACACAGCAGCTCGAGATCAGCAGAGGTCACGGACACTTAAGAGCAGGAAAGTAAAGCAGGCAGGGCAGACTCATAAAAAGGTAATCAGGTGCTGTGGTTCACTTCTCCTATTACTCGGCCAACCAAGGTCTTAAACAGCTCAAGGGCCTGGCTAGGGCAGCCCCGGAGGGGAAAGAGGTGATAGTTGAAATAAATGGATGAGCAGGCTCCCCAGGGCTGTGGGAATATAAAGTACCGAAGAGCTGGAATAACCTGTGTAAGGAGTGCAGGGATAGGAGGTAATGTTTGCCATGCCAAGAAAGCAGTTTTGCTCCCATCCTGTCGTGTTATTGAATAGACATTTGGGTGGGACTCACATTCTGTTCTTGCACTTCCTCTTACCCGAATAAAAGCTTCTTGGCTGAACTCGGCGCTACACATATCTTTCTAGCACCCCGTCCTACTCCTCGGCTTCACCATTGCAGCATTTCCTCTGTGGCTTATCCCCCCGTAAGTGAGGAGGGGGAGATTTGAGGCCAGCACTGTCATTTACTCAGCCACATGAGCAAAAGCCAAAGTATTGAGCACGATATCTCTTCATATTCGTCAGCTCGTTTCACCATTATCAGGGTTCGACCGAACCACTGAAACAGCTTGACTTCTATGCTTTTGGACACTCAAGAATATCCGAAAACACAACATACCAACATATACTATGGCAGGTCAACGTTAGTGCTATTGCCTTAATACGTCTTCAGAGGGTACTAATCTTCAGATTAATATGAACTGCCTGCAGATTGCAGGGTCATAGTTCATGTTTGTCCAGCATTCATATTATTATTTTTTTTGAGTGTCAAAACAGAGACTTCCAATACCTTGTGAAGCAAATCGTACTGCTCTACCATCTCACTGTACACTGTTACAATGGCCTCTATGCATGCTGGTGTTTCTTTTCTCAGTCAACAGAAACTGTGGTGCTTGCTTTGAAGATCAAAGCAAATGTTTCCTTTATGGAGTCAGTATAAAAGGCAGAGAAATAACAGTATCCTAATTCAATCTGAATATTCATGAATAAGCAAATCTAGTTCACTTCTATTTCGTTTTAAAAAAAAAAACGACCACTTTTTCAAAGCTTTTTGATTTGGGGCAATTCTCAAGATTATTTGTCACCGTCCTTGGGAATTCATTCCTGTTTTTCTATTCCAGCTGCATTGTCTTTGATTTATTTGAGAGAATTGGCTTGTAACAGAAAGAGAATTAATAAAGAGTGCTATTCTGGAAATGTGACTGTGCAACCTTTCAATATGAAGCATTTTCATAAATGAATTAAGTGACTTGTAGTGGGGGCAAATGCAGTTATTATGCATTTCACAAGGAATACCAATACTAATGTATTAGATCTGTTTAATGATTGTATACATATTTACCTATTTAAGCACCGCAATAGTGCAGTGGTTAGCATTGTTGCCTTTCAGCACTGGGGTCCTGGGTTGCTGGGCTGCTACAATATATACATAGAGTCGTATGTTCTCCTCATGTTTGAGTGGGTTTCCTCCTACAGTTCAAAGACATACTGGTTGGTTAATTGACTCCTGTGAAAATTGGCCCTGGTGTGAGATAGCCCCCCAGATCAAGAAATCACTTTGACTGAACCCAGGCCCCCAGTGCTGAGAGACCACAACACTAACCAAAGTGCCACCAGGTGCTGCTCTTTCTTATGACTTCCTAAACAAATAGATTCACACGGCTCGTGGGGCGTTGTTGTAAATGTCTTGTTCTCTTCCCTCCTACCGTCAGGTAAACGGTACCAAAGCATTCGGTCCAAGTCCAACAGACTACGGAACAGCTTCTACCTC